GAAAGTATGATAAAAAAATATATAACTCTAAATAGTATGTTCTAATATAAATCTTGCCTGGTAAGTAGAGACAATAGCTATCACACAATACAGACTCAGAGTAATAAAATAACGATTAGCCAGAGATAAAAAAATATACGAACATCAAATCAGTAGGCAGAAAATAATGAGGAAATAAAAAGATAAGCCAATATATGCGATTTTAAACTAATAGCTTATAACCACTAAAAAATGTAACGTTAAAAAACAATATTGTTGACAAAACGACCAAAGGAACGTTAGTGAAGACTGTATAGTGCAAACCACAACAAACTAACTTAGCGACGTCAAATCGAGAAAATTAGATAGAAACAAAAAAACCTAACGAAATCGTGATTAGTCTAAACTTATCTAATGAAATTGTTCAGTATATTCCAACCAAGAATACATTTGTTATGAAAAAATACGCTAATACGTACTTTTGTGTAAAATTTTCGCGCTGTTATACTTCTCACAAATATACGGCCTCATTCACACATAACACAAATCTGAATAAATATACAAAGGATAGGGTAAAATAAGATTATGAACAAAAGTATATAATAAAGAACAAATATTTGATATACTGGTTTTAGAGGCCGTTCATGTCTACAGGTGTGATGGTGTAGTGCATTAGTATGTGCCGTTTGGTCATCTAGTATGGTCTCGTTATGTCTTCGTTCACTTTCAAATCGGGTGAATAGAAAGCTAAACACACTCACTTCTTGCGCTTATGGGCTAGCACATCAGAGCCAGACGTGAGACCTACAGAATGGATTTCAATTGATCGAATGCACACATTAGTCACCGTAGGCCACAAGCCATCACTCTTAGCCAAAAGAGCTACTGCCCCGTGCTGGTGTGGAATGATGTGCTATGGAGTGAGATTTCAGATCCGAGCACATAGTCAGCGAGCGCTGATCCGACGTGCATTGTGGAGCTTCCGATTGAACGTGTGCGTGAGTGTCAGCGTAGTCATTAGGTTATTGAGCGCCGTAACCACATCCAGCGGGATAGCCTAATGTCCGTTTTGTCGTTGTGACGTACATTGGAAAAAGTCGGGGCTCACCAGCCACAAAGAATAAATTTTTGTTTATGCGACACAATGATCGCAAAAAGTGACCAACGGAGCCGTCCAGTTTCGTAGACCTGAGAGATGTGATAATAAAAACAGTTCGAAGATGGTGTCATTGAATATAAAATAAAAATAATATGAAAATATAAAATGAGTGATAAGACTTTTGTGAAGGTAAAGAACGAAGTAAATGCTCGGAGGGCAGGGAGAGAACAAACTAACACTCTAATCACTCTGTATGTAGATCATATGTAACAAAGAACAAATATTTGATATACTGATTTTGAAGACCGTTGATGTCTACAGGTGTAATGGTGTAGTGCATTAGTATGTACCGTTTGGTCGTCTAGTATGGTCTCGTTATGTCTTCGTTCACATTAAAATCGGGTGAATAGAAAGCTAAACACACTCACTTCTTGCGCTTATGGGCTAGCACATCAGAGCCAGACGTAAGACCTACAGAATGGATTTCAATTGATCGAATGCACACATTAGTCACCGTAGGCCACAAGCCATCACTCTTAACCAAAAGAGCTACTGCCCCGTGCTGGTGTGGAATGATGTGCTATGAAGTGAGATTTCAGATCCGAGCACATAGTCAGCGAGCGCTGATCCGACGTGCATTGTGGAGCTTCCGATTGAACGTGTGCGTGAGTGTCAGCGTAGTCATTAGGTTATTGAGCGCCGTAACCACATCCAGCGG